GAGGTCATTGGTTCATGGGAATGTATCCCTTATGAATGGCTTGGGACATCCCTTTGGGGATGAGTGAGCTCCTGATCTGAGTTCTCCTTCAATCTGGCCGTTTAAAGTGTATAGCACCTCCCCCACTCTCTCTCTCTCTCTCTCTCTCTCTATCCCTCCAGCTTTCGCCATGTGCCAGCTCACCCATTGCCTTCTGCCATGAGCAGCAGTTCCCTGAGGCCTCTCTAGGAATGGATCAGATGCTGGTGTTATGCTTTGTGTACAGCCTGTAGAACTGTGAACCAATTACACTTATTTTCTTTATCAGTTACCCAGTCTCAGGTATTTCTTTACAGCAATGCAAGAGGCCTGATGCAGACGGAGGAGGAGGCAGGGTTTTCCCAGGCTCTCCATGGACCCGTGTGTCCCTAAAAAGGCCTCCATACACTGTCTTCCTCCAACCCTACTGGAGACGGCATCGCACAAACCCCAATTCCTGTATTCATCCCTTCTGTCCACTTCTTCAGAAAGTGCATCTGAGCAGCAGGGAGTACAGGACAGCTGACGTCCGCTTAGAGAGACGTCAACTGTCCTGTTTCCTTTCCGGGAGATGATATAATCTCCCAGCAGGGCAAGACCAGGGGTGTGACAGGTCAGAAGTGAGCCTGGCTGTGTCTGACTGTAGCTAGTGAGAGCACTGCCCACAGCAACTGCCTTCAGTGACACTCAGCCCACAAGGTCCTGGAAGGGCTGAGATGATACCTCCTGGTTGAGGTAGGAGAATGAGAATGAGCCCTTGTCCCTGTCCAAGACCCTCCTTTTGCAGAGAGTGGAGGCCGAGGGAGCTGGGGTTCCCCTCCTGAAGCCAGCACCATAGGTGGCTCCATCCCCCTCTCTGCCTGGGAAGCAGGGATGAAGAAAGGGGACTTGACCATGGGAAGCGCACCCCAGTGCTTGGATGGATTCTGAGATTTCATAATGAAAATGTAAGCCAGGCTCCAACTTAACATTTGTCTAAATAACAGACTAAAAGTCAAGCTAAGAAAGATACATCTAGATGACTCCTAAGCCATTATAATGAAACTAATAGCTGTACATTATGTGCTGATGGGAAATAACACAATTTCAACCCAATGGCAAGCACCACTCTCCATCGTTCAATGTTACCTGTTTCTTGCAGGGTACCAAGCATCAAAGCGGGCTCCATCCCAGTGGCTGCTGCTCTGCCTGGTGCCCTTGGACCGGATCCCATGACCTCTGGCTCTCTGAAGTCTAGAATCTCTTTCTGAAGCCCAAAAGCCTCCTATTGAAGCAGAAATGATAAAGGGTTTCCCTTTGTATAGTTACTTTTTCATATAATTCTTCTTTCCCTTGATAGCTGAGGAAAACTTGAAAACATCAAAACGTACATGCTAGATTATGATGAAGCCAAAATCAGGCGGAAGGAAAGAGAGTGGGAGCAGGAGGAAGAGATAAGTGGGAAAGGAGTGGGGAGGGGGAAAGGATGGAGAGAGAAAACAGGAGGAGGGGGAGAAGGAATGGTAGAAAGAGTGGGGAGAGAGGGAAAGAGGAGAGAGGGAAAGAGGAGAAAGGGCAGAAGATCGAGGCCAGCAAGGCCTGCACAGAAGCTGTGACCTAGAGTGCCCGATAGATGGTTCTGGGTTGAAGGTGGAAGGATGGGTTTTCCCAAGGCCACAGCCAGCTCTGAGGGTGGCGAGGTCAGGCAGAGAAACGGCCAGAATCAGATCTGTGGCCACTCTTCCAAGCACATCTGTGCATATTGCTGCTGAGGACATCAGGGCCTGGCTTCAGCAATCTCTGTGCTGCTAAAGTCACAGGTGGTCCTCGGAGGGTCCTGTCGTCCTCATGCCTTCTGTGCTTCAACTCCTGTTCTGACTTCAGGTCTCCTTGGCCAGGGATGAGCTCCTCACTCTCCAAAGTGGAAAATGTCCTGCAAAGTGTGAGCTCTACTCCCACGGCGACTTCTGCCTAATTCCACGGGGAGTGCCCCGACCGTAGTACCAGGCCTTCCTGTGCCCGGCACGCACCTGAATGGGGCAGGAATCAGGGGCTTGTAGGGCAATGCCCGGGATGGGCTCCCCGGCCCCCAGGGCCCTCCCTGCTGCGCCCAGTGTCCCTGCAGCTGCTCCCACACCCCCACAAATATTCTCTGTGTTATCCTTACAACTTTTGTATAAATGTAAAAGTATTCCAAGATGGAAAGTCTTTTAGAGATAAGAATGTGTGAATGAGGTTATGCAGCCTGACTGTGGGATGGTGGTGGCTTGCTTTCCACTGCTTTTCCTAGATCAACGTGTCTCTAAGTTGTCAGGACATACACCTTCGGTCTGGTGACACCTGCAGCTTCCCCCCCACCCCCGCCGCCCCCACACACACGATGCCCAATGTCCTTGCTGGGCCAGCCCACTCTTCCATGTAACCTAAAGTGTACGTGCATGCATGCACACACACACGGGTACACACACAAGTGTGCACACACACCGGTACACACAGGTGTGCACACCCACACAGGTACACACACAGTTGTGCACACACACACAGGTACACACATAGTTGTGCACACACACAGGTACACACAGTTGTGCACACACACAGGTGTGCACACACACAGGTGTGCACACACACAGGTACACACACAGGTGTGCACAGACACACACAAGTACCCACACACATGGATCGTCTCTTGACCTCCCGGTGACTGCATAGTGGGGACTCCTGTAGACGCAGCATCTTGGACATGAGGGAGCTGTGTTTTCTGGGGTCCCTGATAAACGCATTCAGTTTCCCCATATTCCCCATGTTCCCAAATATCTGGATGACGTTGTGAAAGTTCAGGGGCCTCTAGGAAAATAACCTGCAATTATTACCCTCACCTGAGGAATGGAGGGGAAGGTTGTCTGCTGATAGAGGTTGCATTAGGTTACAGAAGTTAAAATGGCAGATTATATCAACTTAAAATAACCCCAAACCAATTTCAGCTAAGTCATCATAACTTTTGCCGAAAACCAAAGGAGCAAGTATAGGCAATAAAAAGTCTTGCTGCTCAGTGTAAACTCAGTTTCTACTTATGAGTATTCTAGCCCGAGGTATTACTTCTCATATCTGCCCCTGATTAAATAAGGACTTTTTTTTTAGCATTCCAGATTTTTCTTTGAAAGCTGTTTTCTCGATAAAGAATGATGTGTTTACATACAGTGACATTTTTGTTGCTTGGTCCTTACACTGGACAGATGTCTGGTAGTATTAAGAAAAAGTAAATATTGGCATGTTCTGGTTTCTGCAGAAATAGAAGACACTGAATTAAAAGCCATATCATACACACCCCGGGAAAAGACTCAATCTCGTGAAGCCCTCAGCCTCTCTGTCTCCTCCACTGTCAATCCATCTCGGCTCTTTCCGGAAAAAAAATTCGGGAATGTATGCAAGAATATTTTTCTTGGCCAGGAGAAGGTGATGGAAGCCCCTCCTCTTCCTCCCTCTCCTCCACAGGGAGGGCCAGAGTCCAGCTCTCAGGTCACAGGCTCACTGGGAAGCTGGAAGGAAATGTCTTAGATTTGGGGTGTCAGCATCAGGGGCGAGCAGCCCAGGAGAGGTAGGCAAG